GAGTTTACAATCCAGGCAGGGCTCATTTTGCATCAGTTTCAACAAGCATTGGATTTCAGTCACAATGGTTAAGTAACACATTTCCCAAACAAATGGGTTGGACTTCTGCTGTAATTGCATAAGGTATTAAGTTTGCTGCTAACTCTTCAGTCCACAAATCACTATGTAGGTAACAGATATGTCTCGTGAGTAACCACCTGTCATATCACTGCTCTCAAAGTCTGTTAGTGACTGGTCACTGCACATCTGTTATTCATGTACAGACAGCAAAGGGTGTAGTTGCATTGCCTGCTTGTTTCTCAGTGATAAACTCACTCAAAAGTTTTTAAAAAGTGGATAATTTATAAAGGGAGCTCAGCAACAAAGATGAAGTACAGTAAAGAAAGGAAAAGTGACAATGCTGGAGCCAAATTCAAATTGCACATAAATGGAAAGAGTGGTTACAAAACGGACAATAGAACTGAATGGGTGCCTCTTGGGTGACATATACATGGTAAATAAGTATATGAAAAGATGCTCAACATCATGTCACCAGGGAAAGGCAAATGAAAACAAGGAGATATCACTACCTACCTGTTAGAATGGCAAAAATTCAAAACACTGACAACACCAAACGCTGGCGAGGATGTAAAGCAAAATGAACTTTTATTCACTGCTGACAGGAATGCGAGATGGTAAAGACAACTTAGAATTTGAGTTTCTTACAAAACTAAATTTATTCTTACCATATGATACAGCGATTACACTTTTTGGTACTTTCCCAATGGCGTTGAGAACTTAGGTGCATGCAAAAACTTGCTCATGGATGTTTGTGGCAGCTTTATTGGTAACTGCCAAAACTTGGACGCAACCAAAATGCCCTTTGATAGTGAGTTGGATAAGTGAACCATGGCACAACCAAACAAGGGATTATTCAGCACTAAAAAAAGGAGTGAGCTATCAAGCCATGAAAAGACACGGAGGAAATCTAAGTGCAGATTACTAAGTGAAGAAGCCAATGTGAAAAGGCTACTGTATGGGGGCACCTGGGTGGCTCAGTCGGTTAAGTGTCCGACTTCGGCTCGGGTCATGATCTCACCGTTGGTGAGTTTGAGCCCCGCGTCAGGCTCTGTGCTGACAGCTCAGAGCCTGGAGCCTGTTTCGGATTCTGTGTCTCCCTCTCTCTCTGACCCTCCCCCATTCATGCTCTGTCTCAAAAATAAATAAAACATTAAAAAAAATTTTTTTTTTTTTTGGAAGCCTGGGTGGCTGGTCGGTTGGCGTCGACTTCCAGCCCGGGTCCAAATCTGGCGGTCCGTGAGTTCGAGCCTTGCATTCTGGGCTGATGGCTCAGAGCCTGGAGCCCTATTTTCAGCCATGTCTCCCTCTCTCTCTGCCCCTCCCCGTTCATATGTCTCTCTCTGTCCCAAAAAAAATGAATAAGCGTTAAAAAAAAAAATTTTTAGATTTTAAATAAAAAAAAAAAAGAAAAGGCTACTGTATGATTCCAGCTATAGGACATTCTGATTCCAACTACAGGCAAAACTGTGGAGCCTGTGATGGTGCGGGGCTAAGGAGGAGGGAAGGTTGAAAAGATGGAATATAATTTTTAGACAGTAAAACTATTCTGTATACTATAATGAATTTGTTAAACTCACAGGATATACAAAACGAAGAGCAATCCCTAATGCAATAGACTTTGGGTGATTATCTTGTGTCCATGTAGGTTCACTGATTGTAACAAATGTACCACTCTGGAATGGGGGCGTTGATGAAAGTGGGGAGGGGGGAGGGAAGAAGAGATATATGGGAAATCTCTACTTACTGTTCAATTTTGCTGTGAACCTAAAGCTCACCTAGAAAATAAAGCCTATTAAAAAAGAAAAAAAGAGCAGGCATAGTTTTCAGGACACTGAAAACGCAATAAAATTTTGGAAGGCGATACAAATTCAGAATTATAATTTGCCAAGGTATAAAAAGAATGCTCTCTTGTAATCATACAAGAAAGTATTATTACTATTCTTGATAACGTTTTTTACAAAAGTAACTTTATCAATGTTTCTTTTACTAAAATTAATTTTACTTTTTTCATTTACCTACACATTTATAACCAACAATGTTTTTAATGTGCTGAGAAAAAAGTTTTAAAGTCATAGAACAACGGTCTTCTCCAATGACTAAGATTATTTTGTACAATCTCAACTTGGCAGTCATTTTTATGGCCCCATGCTACCATGGAAAGCAAGAACCACCCATATAAACAAGTGATTTCTAAGCAAGTTTTAGAAATCTTGCAAGGAAATATGGATTATCCCTCAGCCAATTTTAAACCATAATTATAGCACTGGAATATCATATTTCAGTCAATTTACATGTTAATATTATTAATATTGGCTTGTCTAATCTTAGCATTATGTTATATATAGAAACAGACCAATGAAATAGATGGCCTTATACTTGAAATGCAAGACAGGGGAAGGAGAACATGGTTGAAAAGCCAGAAATGAGGAGAGAGTGTAAGGGAATAAAAAGAAAAGGAATGTTCGGCCAAGTATGATCTTGTTTTAAGGTGCTTCTTTCGTCACAACAATGTTCTATGAAATAGGAGAAAAGATGTTAAATGCTTTATACATTATTAAGAATTATACATAAAAACAAAGTGCATTTCCCAAATAACTTGCTTCTTTGAATCACTTTTTTTTTAAAAGCGTTATTTCTTTTGAGAGAGAGCGCCCATGGGAGGGGCAGAGAGGAAGAGAGGGAGAATCCTAAGCAGGCTCTGCATGGTCAGTGTGGAGCCTGACGCAGGGCTTGAACCCACAAACCATGAGATCATCCAAAATCAAGACTCAAGACACTCAACTGGCTGAGCCACCCAGGCACCCTGGGTCACATTTTCTTATCACTAGTGGCTGTTAATAAATAACAACATGTTGGTTTTAAGTGAATCTCATTGCAAAGTACTCTATCCTCTTATCAAGGCAATCTAAAGAAAAAAAATTATCTTTTGCAAAAGAATTTAAATTGATACTCTAGATAATGAAGGTAGTAACTTTTCTTCCCTCTTATGCATGTTCGTTTTCTGCCATAAAATTACATTCTGACAAGCCTTAATTAAAATAGAATTTAGGAAAAAGTGAGAAAAGTGAGAAATACAATGCTTACCTAAAATTATAATAATTCAAAATAAGATAATCAATTTATTTACACAAATCATAATTCAACTATAAAATGCAACCACAGCAGGTCTCATAAGTAAATATTTCAATCATAGCATCATCATTAACCTTTAGGTCACCATTTTTCACTGAAGGACATTCCATTATCCCATCCTGTCCCCAAGTTAAATGGCTCCTAGGTGAGTGAGCAAGTATGAGAGAATATGAATGAATCAAAGTTGCATACTGTAATCAGACAAAAACACATTTTGGGAAGAAAAGAATCCTAAGAATCATTTCCTTAATTATGGACATTTAAGTGTCTGGCTCAGGGTCAAGTAAATGAAAACCAAATCTCCTGATACTCCAATCTAACCACTATACAGTAATACCAACAATCAGAAACAACAGTAATGTTGTGACAAAAATATCTCATGGTATAAAGTTACATGTCTCTGGGTCAGGAATACAGTTATGAACACACATAAGGTATATGTTTCCTACCTCTTTGTAAGTTGCATTAAAAAATAAAAGTTGCTTCGGTTGGTCAAGATAATATTCCAATAACTATGGCTTCACATGCCCTTTACTGATAATGGATTATGATGTTCACTGACATCAGTCCAATGAACACACTGATGGGAATACATCCTAAGTAATAAATTTCAGTTTATTGAGAAACAGACAATATTAAGCACATATGATCTCATTTGTGCTCCATATTATATTTTTAAGGGTAAAGGGAGAGTTAGAAACTATTAAAAAGGGTGTGAAAATACAACTTATGTTCACGAATGCTTTTATTAAAGATATTATGGATTTAACAGCAAAAGAAACAGCCGATCACTGAAGACACATTAACACAGAAAACTTATGAGAAATCCATTTTGAGAGATTTTTAAAAGGTAGTATTTCCAACAATAAGTGATTTGGGTCCTGCGATGTAGGAGGTAGTAATAATATTTGCAGATTCCTTCTAGCCCCATTATACTAAAATATACTGAATATATTCAATGTACCTTCAAGATTGGATAAACCTACTCAATCGTGAGTTTCAGAGTCTATAATATCTGAAGACTGCTTTGAGAGCTTCAATACTCTTCTGACTCCAGAGGACTATATTACCTTAGCATCTTAGCAAGTGAGGATGCCTTGAAAGTATAATCTCCAATAATTACCAAGTCTGTGATTTATAAATAAGTTTATTTATAATGATATTTACATAATAAAAACAAAACACATGAAACCCACAAGTTATACAAAGGAACTGATGTATAATAAAAACAGCAAGATAGACTGACAGGCAAAATTTTAAAGAAAGATTTAATAAAGAGTTAAATATCAAATAGACAACTTTACTTCTTCTAAATTTCACTTTGTCACCCACACTGAATTGGAATTGAACAATGGCTCTCTCTTCAGGAGGTCCTGTACTGGAAATTCTGGAAACTGATAAGTTATATTTTGAGAAGTGTTTAACGTTAATGACCTATTTCCATGCAGTACCTATCGCTGCCTTAATATGAAGTCACGTTCAGTCTGCTTTGAAGTGAAATAGCCTGCTAATCTGTTCTGCCAGGCTAGACAAATGTTACCCACATTTTGCTGATATGTGGAGACGTGGCAGGAATAAACTACTATTTAGAGAGTAAAGAGAACTGGAGCAGAAGTGACTGGGCAACAGTTTCAAGAGAAGCAAAAGCCAGGAGAGGGAAATCAATGAAAACATGCACAAGAATAGGCAGAGTAATAAGCACAATTAGTGCAGTTGGGAAATGAACAGAAGGAATTAATCCAAGGAGCAAGATAAGGGCTTCTTCAGTTACTATTCACTGGAAAACAACTTAGTGCCTAGCCAAACAAATTTGTTTTAACAGAAGTACTTGGAAGGACCTGGGGGTGTTAGTATATGGAATGCCACCTTTAAATTCAGGTTGAGTTCTTGTTGACAGTGGTGAACATCTGCTTCAAATAGCAATAAAATGAAAGCTATATAATCTATACAGCTGCATCCTTTAAACTAACAAAAAAAGAACTTCAAAGGAGACAAGAAAAACAAGACATAAGCATTGTCAAATAAGGCACATGTAAAAATCTACACACATTATCCAGTGAAAGACAATATATATATATTTGGAGGTAGAAATAATTACAAAAATACTGACATTTCTAAAGCATTAGCATATTTGTTACAAACAATCACCAACTAATCCCCATTCAGAAAACTGTTTTGTAAAATGATTATTCAACATCTTCAGGACTACATTATTTGTGGCTTTTTGTTTGAAATTTCACATGTGAGCGTCTGGAGAATTTAGTTAGTGGCAAAAAAGTTGTCCATACTATGAGAAATGTAATATGGAAATTATAAAAAGTTATAAATGTTCATAAACCCCATGGTCATCATAATGTAAATGTCCTTGAGTGCACCAAGTTGATATTTCCTCATCAATTAGGAATTCACAATTCTTAACTTCACAGGCCCATTGACGTTTTTAGTAATGTGGCTATATCTGCTGGCATACTCCCTTCATCACCTGCAGGTCAGAAAGCAGCATTAAAAGTTTCATAAAAATATTTTATGAAATAGATTTTCTCTGATTCTAACTTTGGTGAATGCCTAATTGTTTTTCAAGGCCCCGTTTGTCTCAGTGTCACTCCTTGTTTAAAAACCTTCGCAAAGCCCTATGTGTATTTAAGGCTACTTCCTCTGTGCTAACGTTCATGCCAGCACAGCCATCTATAGGCTAGGCTCTGATTTCACATAAGTAATATCTAAAGATACACAGGTATTGATCTGGATGACATTCTATTCATACAGTACGCAGTATTTTCTCCTCAGGTTATTTGGTGAAAACCTTCAAAACTTTTGCTTTGTCTGTTTTGCTGTTTGTCTGTTTTGCTGTTGCTTTGTTTTCCACAAACTGAAGAGTGGAAACAAAGACAACCAAACAGAATCATCCATCAACACCCTTATGTTCAGTACAAAGATACAATCACTGGCTTAGACTTAAAACTGGCACATCTAAACAAAATAGTGAATATGGCATACCAGCTGAAGAGTAAAGTGCCCATAACTATAAATAACCCTTTCCCAAAGTTTTCCCCATATTAAATGAGACTCTAGTATCTAGACACTTACCCAGTTAGTATTCAGGATTTTCTACAGTGGGAAAACATCTTGTGTCAAGGTGGTGTAGAATCTAGTTATCCTTGATTAATTCAATGAGTCACTCAGACTGTTTTTAGATGAACTGATTTATTAGTTTATAGGGACAATGGTATAGCTGTTTTTAGATGAACTGATTAAAGTGACAATGGTATACAACTATTTGTAGATTTTTAGCAATGGATAATTTTAGAAATCAGATATGGCTAAAATGCAGCAAAACTAATCACTTTTCTCTCTCTGTCACACATACACACTCTAGTTATAATCTAAAATTACGAGAGTACTTTTACCTACTCTTCTCCTTTTAGTAAAAAACATGTGCACAGAAAGAAAAACTATTCCATAAACTATCAGGGAGCTCACTGACACCCTTGCTTTGAAATGCATCCAGAGACTTAACAATAGCCCATGAAATCTAAATTGAAACTGGTCCCAAATTAAGTGAGCCAAGTAAATAATCAGATCCAGAAGACAGTAAGACAACAAAGTTACAAACATGTAAGACAACAAGACTGTAGAAAATTCAGTATTCTAGGAATTCAGGAAGAGGTAGAAAAAAGCAAAGGGTGAGGAAACTCTTCTAAATTTGAAGATACTAATGATATAATGCAATAAAATGCAATGTACGAACTTTGGATCCTTTTTTTTTTTTTTTTTTTTTTTTTTTTAAGCCTATAAGAGACTTTAAGGGGATAATTGGGAAAAATCCAGATATGAGCAATATATGATAATATTTGGAAATTACTGTTAATTTTTTTGGATGTATAATGGTACTGTGGCAACTGAGAGGAAATGCTGAAATATTCAGAATGAAGTGTCAAGTCTACAACTGACTGTAATGGTTCATGAGTAAAAGAAGCTAGATGAAGCAAAATGTTTACAACTGTTAAACTCACTTATACTATGCTTTCAACATTTTTGCATGAAAATTTCCATAATAAAAGTTTTAAAAGGTAGAAAATTTATTAATATAATCACATAAAGAGGTTAAAGAAAAATCACACACACCCCAAAACCATAATTCTTATTCTAAAGCAGGGGTTCTCTGACTTTAGTTTGGATCAGAAACTCCAACCAGATTATTGAGTTCCAGTCCCAATTTCTGACTGAGTAGGGCTGGAGTTAGGCTTAGGAATTTGCGTTTCAAACTGGCAATTTTGCAGGTGATGCTGCTGTGGGTCCAGGGGCACTGCACTCTGAGAATCACTAAGGCAAGCTCTAGAAATACAAAAATCTGACAAGCATTTCTGAGAGGAATCATGGTACTTAATCTTTCAGTTTCATGGGAAGAGGGGCATACAGACTGTTAACATAAAGCATAGACACAATTATAAATATACTTTTTGTTTACAGTGGAAAAGAACCTTACTGTGAGAGATGAAAAGAAGGGTACATGTACTCTCATTAGGTCAGTGTCAAATTATTTAAATGAAATCAGAAGCAAAATCATAGTTTAGAGAGTAAAGACATTATTGTATCTTTAGCCTACCAAATAAAACACATACTGGGAAAAATGGATACACAAATAGCTAAAGCTCTTTCTTGTTAAAACAAGACAAAGGAAAATTTCCTACAGAAACGAAGAGTGATAATGGGGGAATGATTCTTTAATTCTGAACATCTTAAAGCTAACAGCCTAAAAGCATAGCTGAAATAAGTTGCTATTTTAACAAATACTTGATGTGAAAACACAGGTACAATTTTAGACTAAACAAATTTATGTAAATATAAACAATTTACATGAATTATGACTAGACATGACTGAACACACACTGGTCTCACCTGAAATACAATTAAAATGCTATAAAAAAAAAAAGTAAGTCCAGGGTACCATACAAAAGAGAATGAACAGAAGAAAAAGACAACAGTGGAGAGAAAGCTGTCAAATTTTGGAAGATGAAGAGCAAATGGAAGAATGGAAGCGGACTTTAGCAAAACAGACAAAGCAAAAACTTAAGTGTGTGCAGGTGGGAAATGCAGGAAGGTTACTTCACATTCACAATCCTTTCCTTGCCTCTCAAAGCTCAAGAACATGGAGGTACTACATGGCTTCTAAAAGATGGGGAATATACAGAGCTAAAATAGGTTGCAGAATAGGATACCTAAAGCCTGTGCAACAGAGCCAGCCATATACAAATGAAGGTTTATTCTTTGGAAAGTTTGAATCTGAAGAATGCTGGATGTGGGGACAGTAGAAGACTGGAGCAGCTTCTCCTTTGCTGTAAGAATGCAGTCAGTAGGCTTACTGCATCTGCCACCATCCTCATTTCATAAAAGATTGGAAAGTATGTTTCTGGGGAAATGAACTAGCTCATGAGAAGCAACCTGTATACTTAAAGACAGTTGGGAGTCCAACAATCAAACTGCTGAAACCTCAATTAACTAACTATGATGGTTCTACTTAAAGACTTCTCGTTAGAATAAAATCTACATATCTGGGTATGTGTTAACACTACTAAA